GCAGGGGGCAGCCGATCAATGATTCTCTCTCATCACTGATGTTTCTCTTTCTCCCTGTTCCTTCCTCTCTGAAATCAATATATATATAATTACATATAGTATTATGTCTCCTTTTTCCCCCATTGACCTCTCCCCGGCTACCCCCACCCCCTAGCAGATTCCCTCACCCCCCTACTGTCTGTGTCCATTGGTTATGCTTATGTGCATGCATACAAGTCCTTTGGTTGATCTCTTACCCCCACACACACCCTCCCCTGCCTTCCCTCTGAAGTTTCATAGTCTATTTGATGCTTATCTGTTCTGTATCTATTTTTGTTCATCAGTTTATGTTCTTCATAAAAATGTATTTGTTAAAAAAGAAAATAAAAAACACAAAGAAATGGATAGAGTTGACTCATCAAAACTAAAAGCTTTTCTATCTCACAGACACCCCTACAAAGTTAAGACACACACAGATTGGGAGTATTGCAATGTACTTAATAGACACAGATTTAGCATCCCGAATATATAAAGAAACATTACTTCAAAAAGACAACTCCGCCAAACCGGTTTGGCTCAATGGATAGAGTGTCGGCCTGCAGACTGAAAGGTCCCAGGTTCGATTCCGGTCAAGGGCATGTACCTTGGTTGCGGGCACATCCCCAGTAGGAGGTGTGCAGGAGGCAGCTGGTCGATGTTTCTCTCTCATCGATGTTTCTAACTCTCTATCCCTCTCCCTTCCTCTCTGTAAAAAATCAATAAAATATATTAAAAAAAAAAAGACAACTCCATGGAAAACTAGGTAATGGCTATGAAGCAGGTCACTTAAGAGAAAACCCAAATGGCCAAGATACTCAGCTTCACCAGCACTCAGGAAAATGTGGGGCGACATAACATCGCACACCTTTTCACTCCTCACATTGGCCAGATTTTAAAGCCTACAATAGCGAATGTCGGTGAAGGCGTGAAACAACGGGGTCTGTTGAACACTGAAGATAAGAACAGGCAGTGGCACCGCCATTTTTGGAAGCAATATGGCATTGTTTTGTCAAGATGAAGTTGTGTATATATCTTTCTTAACGATCTAGTGATTTCATCCCCAGATGGACTTCCCCCCAAAACTGCCCATATGTGCTCAAATCAATGACGTGCCCAAGAATGTTCACCAGAAATGTTCACCTGAATGGTGGGAGATAAATGAATCCTATTTGTGTGATGAAACACTATACAACAGTTAAAATAAATGCCTCTGTATGTCACTGAGGACATCTGCATGCACCCGGCCACAGAGATGACCAGGTCGGATCTCCCCATGCTTTCAGTGATGGGGTGGACCATGAGCTGCCAGGGTTTGCTCAAGGTCTCAGATAACCAGCAGCCATGCGCTGGAAAATAGGACTGAAGCTCTTTGATCCCAGGCCACTGTTCCTTCCTGTTCTGTGGTGCCTTGTACATTTCTAAGCTCCAAATTCATTAAAAGGACACCACCTCTTTCATAGGCCTTTCCCGAACCCCAATATTTTCTTAAGTGCCCTGAGACTGCAGGGCAAGGTTGCAGGTGATGTGTGTGGAGGGGATGGTGCTCCAAAAGGCTATATATATCCAGGAACCCCTTCGACTCCAGACTGCCCCCCCTGCCCAGTCTCCGGTATTGTTCAAGCACCGTGGGAGCCCCTGATTTGAGACTTCCTCCGATGCTAAGAGGCCCAATGAGAGCTTATAACCTCCCAAGAGGGAACCTTCTGAATCTGTCCCCTTCCAGGATCCTGGGGCCTGCCTGGCTCTCTTCTCTCCCGACCCCCACTACTCATTTCCTCTTCCGCCGTCTCCCTAGACCAGGCCTTCATCCTCTCACCCAGAAAACTGCAACAGCCTCCTTATCCATCTCTCTCCTTCGACTCAGTTCTTCCAGCACATTCTCCACCCAGCAGCCTGAATGGATTTTATAAACCTTCACCTCTGACCATAGCACCTGATCATATCACTGCCCCCTGCTTTTTGCTCTTTGAATAAACATCCAAGATCCTTCCAACGATATACATGGCCCTGCAAGGTTTGACCTCATCTCCTACCCCACAACCTACCCCTCCAATGGGGTAGGGGCAGTTGTGTATTAGTTCTCTCTCCACACTAGCATTTAAGCTCCATCAGGGCAGAGTGTGTGTCCCCAGAGTCTCACATGACACCTGACTTAGAAGCCCACCAAGCGCCTGTTGGCTGAGGGCCCTTGTACCCCATCTCCCATGTCGGGCTGCGACTCGTCTCAGGCTGGATCCTCCATCACTTGGTTCCCAGGGCTGGCCAAGGGTGGCTACTGGCCATACCTCCGCCCCCAAAACCTCCTGTGCTAGTCTGCAGCATAGGGGAGCCTCTGAGTGCTTTGCAAAAACCACATACTTTACAGAAGAGGAAATTTTTCATCCTGAAACCTTGCGACCAGTAAAAAGAAGCAACTTTTAATAATTTGGGATGAAAATATTTACAGCACCCAGCAGAGCAGAAAAGAACTCTGGTTTTAAGTTTAAAAAATCTGTCATTTCAGAAGCAGAAAAGTTCCAGAAAAGAGCAACCATAGAGCTCATCACGAAAATGTTGTGGGCCTCTGAAATCCACCACCCACCCTGGACGCCCCGCTCGAGTGCCCCCCACCACTAGCCCTGCCCGGGAGGAAGGACTGACTCGGTGAGTAAGGCAGAGCACCAACCTCAGTGCCTGGCCTGGAGCAGCCGCTCCAGAGTGACGGCTACTCTTCTTCAACATCGAAAACTCTCCTCTCCACTGCTCCGACTTCTTCACCGTCCATGAGTATATTTCACCTCTTGGCTTCCTGGCTGGCTGCCAGCCTCTGCAAACCCCCAGGCTGTTCAGTCTCACAAACTGTTGGATTTCCTTTGTGGCTTAAGCGACATTGAGTTGTTTCTGTCACTTACAAACCCCAAAATCTAGACCAGTAGAGTCCCTGACACTGGAAACTGCCCATCTCCATGCCCCCTGCATTAACCCTTACTGTCCCACTATATCCTGACCCTACTCTCTCTGGGGTCACCTTTAGATGGAAGCCCACAACGGTGGTTCCCATCTGCTTGACTGTACTGCATCCTGTCACCTGCTGACTCAGGTGTTTTTTAAAAATATGTTTTTATTGATTTTGAGAGAGAGAGGAAGGGAGAAGGAGGGGGGAGAGATAGAAAGATCAATGATGAGAGAGAATCATTGATTGGCTGCCTCCTGCACGCCCCCTACTGGGGATCAAGTCTGCAACCTGGGCGTGTGCCCTGACCAGGAATCGAATCAGTGACCTCTTGGT